ATTGGTTTGAATATTCTTAAGTATACATTAACTTTTAGGGTAAAGTATATAAATAGTTTTCGAATTTTGGTGTTTGTATTTTGGTCACCCAACTTTTGAAGCTTACAATATAGTCATCAAACTTTTAGTTCGTTTTCAGCAAGGTCTATGTCGTTACCTCCCGTTAGTTTTTACTAATGCAACACTTAACTCCTGTCAAACCCCCATTCTTCTTCTTCTTCTTCTCGTTCATCCCACCTCCGGTTAGCGGTGGCTCACACCGCTATCACCATCGTCACCGGCGTTGCCTCCCGACCCTCGATTCATATTCGCATTCCACCATTCAACTCAAATCAAGAGAAGATTGTTCAAAGACCCATCTCGATCTTCGTCGTCGATCGTCGGTAACTGTTACCATCGGTACCAGTAGGAGCGCCGCTCCATTCCGACCAAAACCCCACTAGCTACTTGTCGAGACTCACCTTTGTTCTCCGTGAAGAGGGCCCCGAATCTCATCGAAAAACCCCAATGCCTCTTTTGTTTTCATCTATTTTCGACTGATTGGGTTGTTCGTTCGCCACACCGCTACCACCATTGGAGTCCTCACATTATACCAGCCAAAACCCAAACGGTCTTGCCCTCTCGCCGCCGTCCCTCCTCCGTCTGCCATTGATTAAAAATAGAAAAAAAGGCGTTGAGGTCTTCTCGCGATTTTGGGGTGAATGGTGGACGGTGATTATGAATCGAGGGTCGGGTGTGGTTAGGCGGTGACGATGGTGATAGCAGCGTGAGCCACTGTTGATCGGAGATGGGGTGAACGAGAGATAAAAGAGGAGGAGGAGGGGTTTAAAGGGAAGTGCCACGTCAGGAAAAAAGTAACGATAGGTAACGACATGGACCTTACTGAAAACGAACTAAAAATTCGATAAATGTATTGCAAGTTTCAAAAGTTGGGTGACCAAAATGCAAGTGTCCTAAGAGTACGGGGACTATTTATATACTTTAGCCTAACTTTTTAATATAAGTGCTCTCTTAAGAAACAAAACCAGAGATTGGACTACGGGCTTTACGGCTCATTTGGGAATATGCACTAATGAAGCGGTTGAGCTTTACGGCATACGGACCACCGGTTACCACTTGTTTGGAAATATGGATACAACAAATTGTGTGTGAAATCGATGCTGAAGTGGTTCTCCAACTTGTTGAAAATGGCGATGGCTCGTTACATCCTTTGGGAACTATCATTGAGAACATTCGAAACCTCGAAGCTCACAATTGAATCTTAAAAATCCAGCGTAATTATCGTGAGAACAATATCTGTGCTAATGCTCTTTGAAAGGTAGGATGTAGTCTCGATGAACTTGTTGCTTTTGATTCTCCTCCGGCTGAGGTGTTCCTTTTCTTGGCTGCGGACACAAGAAGCGTTATATTGCACTAGTTTCCATCTTTCCGGGTTATAACAAAAAAAAAAAAATTATAGGCCGACGTAGAATAGGTGTAGGTGTGTATATTTATTTTTATCTTATCGAATCAGATTTAGACTGAATTAAAATCTTCTGAAATTTATATTTTTGAATGATGAAAGAAGGAGGTAATTTAGATGCAGATAAATTAGTTCAACCTAATACTCCTACATAATTTCTTTAATTCAAATTAGTTTAAATGAAAATCGAAAGGTAAAAAATTATGAGGCGCATAAACTGTTATGATACACATGGGGACTTTGGATAGATAGAGGACCTGGTAGTTTCAATCTGCCCTTCTCTCTGAACCACCGAGCTAAACATATAGTTTTTTTGTTTTGATTTCAAGTGACTCAATTAAAATGAATAGATTCATACATTTTATATTTATTTTAAATTTTTAAACATTATTTTGACATTTATTTTATGTTAAACAATAATAGTTCAATTATTATGTAATATATGTTATTCAAGAAATTATTGTATAGAATTATATATTTTTAATTTTTATTAAATAAGATTTTTAAAAATATTTAAAATTATTGGTCTGGTCCATAATAAAATATTTATAATTTTCAAGATAACAATAAAAAAAGTGGTACCCACTCATGCCGTGCCACGTACAAAGAATAACATCGGCAAGGAAGTTTCTCGACGAGACGTAACGTAGCTTCTCGTTGTTTCATCTCTTCTTCCGCTCCATTCACTTTTCCTTTGTTTTTTCTTCCTTGGTCGTTTCATTTTTATTTTAATTCAACTTCCCTTGTGAAATCTGAACATTCTAGAAATTAACAATCAGATTTCTCACATCCGGAAACAACCAGACGTCGCAGGGAATCTTCTTTGAGGAGTTATTATTATTATTACTATTATCGTTTCAGTGATGGCTCCGCCACCGGTAGAGCAGAACGGAGACGCCGTGACGGACTCGAAAAGGTCTATCCCCACACCGTTCTTGACTAAAACTTACCAATTAGTCGATGATCATACGATCGACGACGTGATTTCGTGGAACGACGACGGATATACTTTCATCGTTTGGAACCCCACGGTTTTTGCTCGAGATTTGCTTCCTAAATATTTCAAGCATAACAATTTCTCTAGTTTCGTTCGTCAGCTCAATACTTATGTGAGCCAAACAAAAGAATCTCTTGATTTTAATTCTATGCGAGCGATATCTTTTTTGGAAATTTTTTTGTTGATTTTTTTGTTGCTTTGTTTTAGGGATTTAGAAAACTGGTGCCAGATCGATGGGAATTTTCCAACGATTATTTCCAACGAGGTGAAAAGCGACTTTTGTGCGAAATCCAACGTCGGAAGATTTCGTCGCCAACTGCAGCGGCTGTTACGGTTATGCCGGTTACAATCGCGGCGATTCCAGTTGCAAAACCTATTATATCTCCTTCGAATTCCGGAGACCAGCAATCCCCGGTTATTTCATCGGGCTCATCGCCTACTAGGCTGAGCCAAGCAGGGACCGTTGTGGCCGAGAGAAAACGACAAATTGAGGAAAGAGAACGTGCAGCTCAACAAACAATTAGCTGAGATGAAGAGCTTGTGCAATAATATATGCAGTTTGATGTCAAATTACGCTTCTCAGTCGGAGAGCAGTTCTCCGGCGACGAAACCGTTAGACTTGTTGCCGTCAAAGCGGTTGTCGTGCATAGGAGAAGGATCGGTGGATGAAGAAATGAGTCCGAGGTTGTTTGGCGTTCCAATCGGAGGAGCGGCGAAACGCGCAAGGGAATTAGTGGAAGGCGTACCACCGGCAGCGGCGCCGCCGGAGGGGGTGGACGAGACACATTTACATCTGCAGCAGCCCGGTGAGAGTGAGATGATCAAATTGGAGCCGTTGGATTGCGAGAACCTGGGGCGTAACAATGATCGCGGGATACAAGACGCGCCGTGGCTTCGGCAGTTGCACCGAGCTAATCAGAGGGTCTGCAATTGAACTTTTGGTTCGGGTATAGGTTAGGTTGTGGATCCGAACCTGGGACGAAACACGTGTTAAAACCATGTATTCTTTCATGGATCCATGCTGATCGTCGAGGAAGCAGCTGAAGAAAAAAGCAATGTCTGTTAGTCGAGAGAATCTAGGAACCCTGAAACTTTCTAGTACTGTTCCAATTCTCTGTCAGACCAAAGAAAATATTCTGGGAAAATGAAAACAACGTGTCGAATTCATAGGGATTTATTCTCATGCAACATGATGAAAGTAAGATTTTATGTTAAAAGGGATAAATTTAGATTTAAAATATATAAAGAAAAAATTTTAATTTATAAAATTTTAAAAGATGAAAATAATTTTTTTAATTATATATATATATAGTTAAAATCTATAATATGTAATAGTTTTAAATTATTTCCACCACCCGCCTGCCTAGGTCCATCCTTAATCATCAGATAATTCTGTGTGGTTGGCTGCCATGATTTCCCCACGTACATCTGGACATCTTGCCCTTTTTCTCTCTCTTTAGAATAAGATTAAAACAACTCCTCTCTCAATCTTATTCATTAGTTTGGAAAGGAACAAAGCTACAAACCTTTATATTGGATGTAGATTTTAAAATATATACAACTTAAAGTGAAAAAAATGTATAAACATTTAGTAGAAGTAATATGTAAACAATATTTGGAACTTTATATGTGATTAATTGTAGTAATAATTATTTTGTGGTGTTATTTAAATTGTTTGTTGCTAATAGTAGATATAATGAATAATAATTTGGATAGTAATATATATGCTCATTATGATGAATATTTCAATCTAACCTATTTCATTTATGACATTAAAATTATAGCTTTAACATTATTTAAAAGATCTAACATTTTATCTCACTAAATCAATGAATAATTTATATAACATTTTATCTCACTAAATTTATAATCCGGCAGTCGGCATCCACAGATACGTATTCATACTGTTCAAACAGAGAGGAAGAAGAACGGTGAGTCCACCGTCTTCGAGAGATTACTTCAACACCAGGAGTTTCTCAATCGAGAACGGTTTGGGCCTCCCAGTTGCAGCGGTGTACTTCAATGCCCAGAGAGAAACTGCCCCAAGAAGAAGATAACTATGTCGGGTTATTTTACAAATATATTATGATGTGTGGACCACGACCTTTTTTTACAAATATATAAGAAGAGAAACTGCCGAATCATAATAAATAGTTATGTTTTCTGTTAGATTATTTTATAAATATATAAGAATCAGTCTTGTAGGCTGTCGCCCGCTAGATTCCGTGACAGTTATTATGTAAGAACTAGGTTTCGATTTTGCCTGTCTGCGTTAAATATACTGCTCAAATGCAGATTTTGTCGCGTTACTGGCTTGTGGGTGCCATGGGATTTTCTGATAAGTATTTAGGTTAAATTTGAGATTAGTGTGAATCAAAAACTCAATTATTACTATTAAACCGAAAGGTAAAATTTATTTCTCAATGCTAATAAAGTTTACTTTGAGCTCCATTGCTAGCAATTAAAGCAAAAACAGACAGAAGATGAAAATCACGACCTTATTTCTACATATTATGCAGCACAGTTTTGCATATTAATCCATCAAGCACAGGTGAGTGGTGGGATATTGCATTGAGAAGTGAGTCGGGAGGCGATCTGGAGAGTGCTGTAGAGGAAGTCATGGTGCACAGATTGGAGGGCATTGCAGCAGTCAATGCTCGGGGCGGTCACTGCCCCACCGGGCACCACGAACGGTGTGCAGACGTTCAGGCTCGCCAGCTCGGTCGGGCAGCTTTGTGACTCTACCGTCTGGCTCTGCAGCACTGCCACTGCAACCACCAACATGAGTAGCGCTGCAGCGGGGGAATACGAACTGAGAGATACCAGTGACTTGAGACTTACCATGGTTTATGATCTCTATTGATTTCTTGTTCAGTTGTGAGATTTTATCCAATGGAGTTTTAGAGATTTTATAGTTGTAAAATTTGAATGTTGATTGTGTGAGTTTCCTGTCTTAAAGTTTTTAGCACATCGTAACTTTGTTCATTTCAGAACAGTTGAAGGATTCATTTGTAAATTTGGAAAGAATTTTACAGTCTGTTTTCATATGTAATATATATGGTGTAAATATACATCAATTATATTGATATAAAATATAAATAGTAAGATTATTAATTATGTTTACTAATTTATTTTAATAACTATATTAATTTTTAAATATAATTTCACAAAAAAAATTATTTAAAATACTAAAATTTTATACAACCGAATCTTCAAATATCTATATCAATACTAATTAAAATGAATCGACATTTACCGGTTTAAAACTAATATATACAACTGATAAGTATAATATTGATTCCCTGTTTATACCTCTATGTATTAAATTTTTATGTTTGTAAGGTTGTAATTGTTTTTGTTATTTGTTAGGTGGACGCGGACTTGCTTGTTTAACTATGTTTTATTGTTTTTAGTCTTTATACTCGTGCTTAAATAACCTTACAACCTCTCTTTTCTTTCAATATAGTTTTCTATAACACCTTCAACCCGATACGGATGGTCCGATCGAATCGAAATGTTACATTAGGGCCACCGAAACGACCCACGATAAAAATTTTAAAAAAATAAAATTTTGATAAACTATTTAAAAACCATAAAACAATTTGTGAATAAAACATAAATTCAGAAAATCATTCACATATTAAAATCAATATATTAATCGTACACAATATCATACTAATCTCAGACTCAATATAAAATCAAATGTGAACTACATGCCTCTTAATTACACTTGTACCGTATTCCGTGAGCAGCACCAAACAAACTCCCAAACTGATGTCAAACTGCATCAGGTGCAATACCTTTAATCCGAAATGGTAAGTAATAGAGTAAGCTTTGGGAAAGCTCAATAATACAAAACTACCAGAAGATGCTAAAGGACAAGCATGTATATGGTAAAGCATGAAATTTCTTTAGTTATCCAGACATATACAAGTCATGGTGATGAGTTGAGATTTCACTATTAACCTTCATGTAATCGTCAAGAAACTTACAGTTTAGAGAAAAATATTCTAATAAACAAATTTAGGAGATAAAAATAGGATGTCTAGTGTGTTCCCACAAAATCAGAATAAATGTAATCATAGTTTAAAAACAATAATAGTTTATTTCAGTAAAACAGATTTTCAAAATCACTGTAATACCCTCCACTTGAACACTCCATATGCAGTTCCTCAGAACTACATCCATAAGAACTTAACCTAGGTCTATTGGACGTAGGAGCCAACCTAAGGAAGTACTTTGGAGCCTATAAGCCTACCCAAGGGTCGCCTTAGGTCTGTAAAGAATTACTAGATGGATCAGGGTTAAACCTCAAAACTCCAGACTCCTACCTAGACAATGACCAAATAAAACAGTTTCAGACAGTATCATTAATATTAGAAATCATGAGCTAGAAATAATTTGTATCAGAAAACAGAGATCAGAGATCATGTTTTTATTTAAAACTCAAAGTTAACCCTCCAACCAAATACTCGAATTGCATCCATAAGGACTTACGTTATGCTCATTGGGCATAAGAGCCAACCTAAGGGAGTATCTTGGGGCCTATAGGCCTACTCAAGGGTTACATGAGGTCTGTAAAGAATTACCAGTTTGATCAGAGTTGAACCTTAGAACTCCAAGAACCTACCGGGACAATACCCAAAAAAATCAGATCATATAGAACCAGTAATATAAGATATCAGGAGCTAGATATATCATATATCACAAAATAGAGATCATAGATCGATTTTTTATTTCAGATATTAGAGTCATACTTTTTATAACCAGATAAAATATCTTTGTGCAAAGGGAACCCACTAAACGATCCATATATTTTTTCGGAGGCACTAGGTAAATGTTAGGAAGGAAATACAGACTACTGCTAGTTGATAAGATTTCAGAAATAAGATTCCTACAAAAAGGGTTCGATTGCTGAGTGATTTAATTAGACCTTTAGAAATTGCTTCTTCAAGAACATTTAGGATTTAAATACACTAGAAATGTATTTAGGAACTTTTATATCAGAATTTACTAAGGTTCAGATATAACCAGAGTGATTTTATTTTTTTCTTTGATGATAGAAGAGGGTCAAATCCAAGTTTAGGTCTTTGAACTTTTAAAGCTTTTAAAAATAACCCTAAAATCTTCAAGATCTCACAAATTTGTCCCTAAAATATACTAATTAAACATTTAACATTAAACTTAAAAATTTGGGGTGTGACCAAGGAAGGACAAAATGGCATCTTCAGACTTGCAAAATCTAGGGAGATTAGGAAAAAGGATCTAGGTAACATTAGGTTTATTAAGGACAACAATGGTGTTCTTTTAGCGAAAGATCACGATATTAAGAGGGTTTGGGGTAGTTACTTCTTTGGCTTATTTAATGACGGTGCCTCTCCATGTAGAGATAGTATCGTTGATGGGTTAGCCGACTATCATACTACGGCCAATGACTGCTCTACAAGTAGGATTGGGTTGGAGGAAGTCAAAATGGCTCTTAGAAAGATGGGAAGGGACAAAGCTGTCGGTCCTGATCAAATTCCTATCACTGTGTGGTTGGCCCTAGGAGAAGAGGGAGTTAAGTGGTTGACCAACATCTTTAATATTATTTTAGAGACTGCCAAGATGCCAGAGGAGTGGAGAGAGTCTACGGTGATACCAATCTATAAAAATAAAGGAGATCCTCAACGTTGTGGTAACTACAGAGGTATTAAACTCCTCAGCCATACCATGAAGCTATGAGAAAGGGTGATAGAGGCTAGGTTGAGACAAGTTACTAGGGTTTCGGAAAACCAATTTGGCTTTATGCCAGGCAGGTCTACCACGGAGGCGATTCATCTACTTCGACGGCTTATGGAGAAATATAGGGAAAAGTCTAGAGATCTTCACATGGCGTTCATTGACCTTGAGAAGGCTTATGATAGTGTTCCCCGCGATACGATCTGGAAGACTTTGGAAACTAGACGGATCCCAACTGCTTATATCCGGGCGATTCGTGATATGTACTGTAGATCTACTACTTACGTCAGGACTACAGTTGGCGACACCGAGGCATTCCCGGTGGAAATCGGACTCCACCAGGGGTCGGCTCTTAGCCCTTACATCTTCGCCTTGATTATGGACGACATCTATTGTGCGACACCAGACGGTGTACCATGGTGTATGCTTTTCGCTGACGACATTGTCTTAGTTGCTGAAACAAAATCTGAGTTGAATAGTAGACTGGCTACCTGGAAGACTGCTTTGGAAGAAAAAGGTTTAAGGATCAATATTGAAAAGACAGAGTATGTATGTTCAAACTTCAATGGGAACCAAAATGATGAAGATGTAGAAGTATGCATAGAAGGACACGTTCTCCCCTCAAAGGATTGTTTCAAGTACCTAGGGTCTATGATACATAAAGATGGGGGTGTAGATGATGACGTTACACACCGTATAAAGGCGGGATGGCTAAAGTGGAGGGCCGCTACTGGAGTTCTGTGTGACAAGAAGGTCCCTCTAAAACTTAAGGGAAAATTTTATAGAATGGCAATAAGACCAGCGCTGTTGTATGGATCAGAATGTTGGGCAACCAAGAAGGATCACGTGAGGAGGATTGAGGCCGCAGAAATGAGAATGCTTCGATGGACATGTGGTAGGACTCTGAGGGATATGACGACAAACTCTGCTATTAGGATGTCCTTGGGGGTGGTGTCTGTTTCCGAAAAATTGAGGGAGGGAAGACTACGGTGGTTTGGGCATGTCCTTAGGCGACTACCGTCGGATGCGGTAAGGAGGGTAGAGTCGATTACAGTCGACGGTGCCAGAAGGAAAGGACGACCAAGGCAAAAGTGGGAAGACTGCTTGAGATCTGATTTGAGGGATTTAGCCCTTACCGAAGACATGACCTCTGATAGGAAAATATGGAGGCTAAAGACTAGGGTAGTCGAGTAGTGTGGGTCACATCTATAGGGTGTATCATCTCTGTCTTCTTTTAATGTCTTTGTAGTATTTTCCATGACTTATACTTTTAATACGTTTCTGTTATTGGTATTTATGAAGGATTAGAACTGGGCTTGCTAACGTTGACTTCTGTGTATCATTCTCTTCATGTTTCCTCTTTTAAATTAGCCGGATCTTATGTTTCTGTCTATATGCAGAGATTCTTTCGCAGGGATTATTATGCAGGGATAAATTCCAGTTACAGACGCACATATGATTTTAATGACTGCATATGAATACTGATTAGCTATGTATTTATGTATTTATTTATACATGCATTGCATTTAATCTAAATTTTTAATTTTCTGACTGCCGGAGGTCTTCCACGGAAGCTACTCTCAACCTGGCGTTGGGGGTAGCCTACTACCCTACCTCCCCCTTACCCCATACATATGGGAATTGGGTTTTGTTGTTGTTGTTGTTGTTAAAAATTTGGGGTGTGACATTTTCTTTCAATATTTTTGTGTCGTATTTTTCTTTCTTTTTTTATATTATGTCTTTTATATTTTTTTCTTGAGTCTTTTTAATTTTGAATAAGATTCTTTATCCTTGTGACATGATTTTTCTCTACTCTTGTAGCACGCGTTTTTCTTCTCTTGTAGCACGATCCTCATGGTTGTTAGTATATTTTTCGCATACCTCTGCAGTCGTTTTGGTTCTCGCACAAAAATATTCAAGATATTTATATTCTGATTGGTTAGTCGATGGTCACGTATAGTTAGATCCCCTCTTTTGGTAAAAGGTTGTCTGCTGATGTAATCAGATTCTGTAGCGAAACAGCCTGTCAGATTATTTGGTTCGCTCTCCACTCATTTATCTTTTCGTTCAAGTGTTTGATTCGACACAGTCAAAGAGTTTTTATTTATGTTACTGAGTTTTGA